ATATTACAGCATTTTATGTAAACAAATACTGCTTATTTTTTTTTTTTTTTTACAGTGCCCTTTCTCCCCCGAGCTGACCCTCCGAATAAAGACAAGAAACGCCTTAGATTAGAAGCGAGTTCTCCCTTTGTCATCTTGCAGGTATTTTTAAAGCCTTAGATAAGAGGCATCAAGAATGTTATAGAAATCTGTATATTGAAAGTTAATCCAAACCACATGACCACAGGACCATCCAATCTGTGTTTCAGCGTGCTTCAAAAGCAGAAGACAGTAGAAACCATCCACAAACACACCACAAAAATCACCATTTACAGGCCAAAATTCAAAAAAGAACCACTGTTGCTCGGAGAGAGCTACCTGCAGAATCATAGCCTCTGTACTCCAGCCGCTGGAGCCCCTTGATAAGGGTCTCCAGGATCTCCCGTCTTGTCCGGGGAACATGGTAGTTCAGGTAAGCAAAGATGCCTGTATGGGGGAAAAGAGCATAATCTTGTAACAAAATCACAGCTGAGGAAACTCTGTATGTGCCATCTACTTAGTATGTGCGCTACATTAACACTCAAACAGGCCTTCGTACTGAGAAGCCCCTGCCGGAAGGCACCACTGCGTTTGTAGCTTTTCCTTACCCCACCTGAGGTCCAATGGAGAAGATGTCACTAACATTTAAGAGATCAAAACTAACACAAAACGCCAGCATCCTTCTCATGACATTGAAAGCAACTAAACAGGACAAGCCTGGGCGTGACGGGAGAAAGAATTTCCACGTGAGCTGGATCTACACAACAGAATGAGCTGCCAGGAGACAATGCAGTGGACAGGAAACTAATCACTCCAGATGAAAAATTCAAGGTTCACAAACACTGAGCTTTGCGTGCTGAAGAACCATCTTCAAAGGCAATTCTTCCTTGAATAGCTTTCTCTAAGTTCCTCCCACAGACTCGCTAAGAAGAAAATCATTTAACTCAAGCAAACTAACACCCTCAAACTAATGGAGCTATTTTTCCTATGGGTTGCAAAGGAAGATAAATTGTTGCTTCTATTTTTAAGCAGTGATGGGGACAAATTCCTAGATCTCTAATGCCAACTAGAGTTCTATTTCAGAAAGATTTCCTTTGGTACCATCATGAAGCAGTAGCATGAGAAGACATTTACTGGATGCTAGAAGTATCTATACCTGAGATCTCCCATTTCACCCTGTCTGACATTTTAAAGGAGAAAAGCACCTGCATGGAATAAAAGCAAGACAGATTTCACACGAACATCCATACATGTAAGTGACTGGCAATGCCAGGTTTTTAATTTGAGAAACTTTATCAAAACCTCTTGAGGAGAACGGAGTTCGGTCACACACACACAGTAACAAAGTCCTTTTAAAGGCATCCCAAATCTTTTATTTTTTCCTGATAGTACTGCCATACAGCCTGCCTCACAGTTCCCAAACTTTTATTCATGTGAAAGATTTTACTCCCAAGATGACTTTTGGAACACATATCTTTATGTTTACACACAGATTATTTTAAAGAACATTTGAAAAACTGCATTCTTAAGCTGATTGAGTTTTGGAATTAAACTAAATAATTCAAAGCCTTCTGATGTCTTAATTTATTTTATAAGTAGAAATATGGGCTAATCAGAGTTGATGGACACACTGAATACCACAGAGCAAAGCGCTGAAATGTTTACAAGGGACTTTTTAGCCTGAGCAGGGACAACAAGGTCGTGCGCAGCCATATACCATTCTGACACTCTCCCATTCCTTCTCCCTTTCCCATGGACTTTGGCTACAGGTCTCAGGATAAGTTTGTCATAAGCTTCCTCTTCCCATTCCCAAAGCACCAGCATTAGACGTGACATCTCCCTGCAGTTCTGCTGCAAAGAGAGCACACCATGTCTCGCTTATTTTCTTCCACATTGCTAGAAAAAATTAGATGCACGTTCTATTGTTCCTCTTTCCCAAACCACCTAGTCAGACGAAGGAAAACAAAACAGGAGCTTTTTACTCGATTTCTTTTGCTTCTACTTTCACTTCCCCAAAATCCAAAGCCTTTTCTGTTAACCACTTGTAAGACTATCAGGACCAAGTTTATAAAAATTTGCAGTTTCACTTCCATTGCTCCTGACATCCCAAAGCAACCATGCACACAGGCCTGCTGCTGCCATCTCCTGATGGCACGCGTTCAACTCAAATGTTGGTTCCAGTAACTACATGGACAGGGTGAGGTCCTCCTCCACAAACCTCGCAATTCACAGCTAAAGGCTCAAGAGATAATAAAACACTAACAGCGGTTAACAACCTCTGCTGTATTTCAAAAGCCTCCTCTGAAGGATACTTCCCCCATGCTCTCAATCTCCAAACCCTCTTCCCCACCCTTCTGGCAAACAAAAAAGTTTTCCAATTTGAGATACTTAGTTCACTCTGTTTCTAAAAACTGCATTCTTCAGGCAAACAGCAACCTCCCTGTTTACAAGTGAACTGACTCCAAATAGCTGTCATCCAGGCTGAAGGACGCACATTTCAGCTATATCCTGGATGCCCAAAACCCTTTAAATGACTTCCAGGTCTTACAACAGGAGTACAAAGCAGACTGCTTTATTAGCAGGCAGCTGGAAAAGCCCCTCTCTCCATATTTACCAGAAACCTCCCAAATAGATGCCCAATGCAGGTAGCATTACACATAAAAATAACAAGCGTGTACCATAAAGCAGAGCAAACAAGCACACGAGATGTCTTTAGAAAAGCACGCTGGGCTCCAGCAGTTCCCGACGTTTCCCTTTACACCGAAGCCACCTACCACGGCATCCGAAGCAAAGCTACTTCAGAAGGCATAATTATAACCAGCACAAATAATTACGGAAACATGAACGCTGCTTACATTTTTCCAAATTAGCTAAATAATTTCAGAGTTGAAACCTCTCTCCATGTTTTATGTACCTTGGAAGCACACGCTAAGGGTCCCACTCCCACCCAAACCCTGGATGAAGCCTTATACCTCCTTTTTGATGGCGCCGGGCAGCTCCTCGCTCTGGCGTTAGCTGGGCCCGTCAAACAGCTCTCCACAAGCACCTACAATCTCTGCATCCCCCCCGGTGGCATTTCAGCTATCTCGCTATGGCATAACCAGTCCCGCTCAGGCATTCAGCTACCTAGTAAGTTATTCCACTACCACGGCACACCACCGAAGGCCATTCAAGTGGGATATGCTCTTTTGAGCAAACGGGGACAGATGACGAGTGTTGAGGTGCTCTGGAGTTTGAACGTCAGGCTGGCCACAGCGAGGCAGATCCTGGAAGTCCTTTCCAGTGAACCGCAGCAGTATGAGAGGCACAAGAGCCTCACTGACGGGAGCACAGAGGAGGCCTTCTTCCCGGGCAGGGCATCGCGCTGAGCGACTGGGGGGCAAAAACGGAACAGGCTGTCAAGCTGGCATGCGAAGGGTGAAACAGAGCCACTGTAAAGTTTGGGGAAGGAACTGCATGCAGAAGGTACGATATGTACGGGCATATGCCAAGAAGGGAGAAGAAAAGAGGACTGTAGGAAAGGTGGAGGGGAAGTAGCGTAGAAGCGGACAGCAAGCTCAGGTAGTCCGCTCTGCCACCTCACACCCCACCTGGGCTGCCCATCAGCACCTCCAGGCCTCTCCGCACAACAGCACGCCAGAGGCGGGTGAAGGTAGTCCTCCCCTGCGCCCAAGGGACACCAGGCATCACCCCTGTAACGCTCCCAGGCACGCAGCTACAAAACCCCCACCTTGTTTCCAGACCATGACATTGCATTTTAAACAAGGCTATTCTCCACTGAAGTAGCCCGGGGGGCACAGCGCAGTCACCCCAACGGCCCTGCAGAAAGCACAGAGGAAGCGACCCCTCCCGAACACCCCATCAACACATCCCTGGCTGATAAAACAGACACAGCCCGGAGGGGCGGGGGGACACCCAAGAAACACGACAGCATCTCGCTCAAAGCCCCAGTGAAGATCACCTTGCCCAGCACTTTCCACGCAGACCCTTGGTGCCCCAGCAAGGCCATTAAAATGAAGTTCTCCACATGAAAAGAATTCTAACTCAACAGATGGGCACAATTATTAGGCAGAAACTCAGTTTCCTCTCAAAAAATATTTTTGTAAATGTGAATTGATCATTTTAGTCTCCATCCTGCTTCTGGCACAAGTATTGCAACTCATTCTCAACCAAAAAAATGGCTTAAAACCAGAACTATTTCCCTCTAGCCAGGGTTGACTTTGGACATCTTTATTAAATCTGAATCCAAACCAGACAGTGGCTTGAAATGTTCTTTTCTCTGCACATTTTAACAAGTTTAGTCACACCTGAACTAAAAAAAAAAACAAAACAACAAACCATAACTTGATTCCTTGTCACAGATCACAACTGCTAGCAATGTACAACAAAATGCCACGTACTGAATGGGCACAAAGTAGAAACCGAATTCCTCCAGGAAGGGATGGCTCATCTGGAATGAGCCTGAAAACCACTAGTGTTTGTTTCTACTCGTACTGTAAACAAACAGAAAACATCTATCAAGAAAGGACCCAACTTGGCATTTGTCTCAGGCATTAAAAAAAACCTATTAATTACAGCACAATTATATTAAGATTATTCACGAGGACTGCGAAAAAAATCTGAATCTAAGACTAAGAATGCCACAAAAAAAACCCCAAAAACCCAAGGAATTCAGTGCTTATCAGAAAACACAGAGACTATGCAAGCCAACTAAAAGAAATGCAAATACAGTATTAACGCTACAAAATATGCGGACACACTCTTCAAAAAAGACGACCACGTAAACATTGGGAGATTCAGTTTCGATTCAGTTCAGCTTTTAGATCTTGACAAGAAAATAGCTGGAGTGATAATGGAGACGCCACTATGAAAATAAAATTCCAAGAACTCACCTGTGATCGACACATTTTACAAATGAGAAGGCAAGTAAGACAAGCAGGTTTAAAACTCACCTTAGAGAAAACAGGAAAAAAAAGAAATAAAAATAGATAGAATAGCATGTAAAAATGATCCATTATTAAAGTAAAAAATGGGACAATAAGGCTGCTGAAAATGAACACGAGTCTTCCTAAATGCATGACTTACTAATCTGCAAGCTAAAATCAAATATTTGAAGACTTATCACCCATTTATGACCCTTGATCACGATGAGTTATGTGTAAATAAGTTTCATTTACTGGAAATATTTTCAAATGCATTTCATTTTCCCCTCTTCAAACATCCCATAATGACATGATTCTTCATAGCTGGAGAAAGTTTCACTCCACATTTAGAAAACAGCATTTTTACTGGCTCTACCCTAACTATTGGATTATTCAGGAATATACGAGCAATCACATCTTGTAATTGCTTCCATTTTTAAGCACAATTCCACTGCCCTCGACAGAAACATTGATGAGAAAAAAAAGACCCAAAGCATTAAATGCTTGTTACGCTTCACTGATCTAAGTGTATTTTTGAAAAACGTTTATTCCTCCCAGCAGCCACCAATAGGGGCTCTGCAGATAAAATTTTGCTCCGGAGTTACACCCCAAGCCTTCGGCCCCACCTGTGTAAGTGTACAGCAAGGAACGCGGCTGTGCCGAATCAAGGTGATACTTAGGTCCCAGCGTGACTCAAAGCCCTGGCCGTTCAAGAAAAGAACCTCTTTTTACTCAAAAGCTGAACAAAGGATCACTTCATCCAGCTACAGAACGTAGCCTTCTCCGAGGTGGAACGCGGCAGACGCGCGAAGCCACGCAGCAACTCTACCTTGCAGTTTAGACCGTAAGAGACCTTCCTTCCACGCACCAGAGACGTGTTTTTCTCCAAATCACAATGCCTTGTTAAAGCCTTGTTCTGTCCCTCCCTGTGCTTATATTCAAATCAATCTACACGATTCAAAAGATGAAAAGATATCAACTGCACAAATCTTTACAGCTGCTTGAAGGCTTCCATGAGGAGCGCTCTGTCACAAAGCGCCAATTTTGCTGTCAAAGTGACAATTCATTTAAATCACAACAGTCAATGGAAACATGTTGGTTTTGATGAAATTCCAACGCAAATCTACCAAGTTTCCATCGGGGTCCCATCTGGTGCACCACCAGCTTATCCCCCTTGCCAGCCTAGATGCCAGGTGCTGAAAATGTAGAAATCTTGAAGTCCAAGCAGAACATTCCTGAAACCAACCCACCGTGAATTTCAGGTCCCTAGCAGACCTGAAAAGAGCTTCCGTTTCAGCTCAACTTACGCATTCAGACACCATTCAATGCACATGTTTACCAGTAATAATGCCACACCTGCCCTCCCTAACTTGCACTCCAGAACAAGCCAGAAAGAGGAAGTATTACAGAAAACCAGGATATATGAATGACATTTAATGATGCCACCTTGACAAGCCTTGAGTCGGCATCGTTCGAGGTGAAATACGTGCTATGTGAAACAAAAAAAAACCACCCTGTGAACTTCATTCTAGTCAGCACTGTTTATAGTTGTGAATTCCCAGCTAAAGTAAGACAGCAGCAAGCATACTACAGGAATTTGTATCTGACAGGCTCAGAAAACACAATACCCCTGTCTGGAATACACTAATATACTTCAGGACTTGACACTAATACACCTCAGGATTAGAACAGCAGTCACGCTTTACAACATAATAAAACATTTCAACTAGTAACTTGACACAGGACTTTGCACATACGGACTGAAAAGACTTGTTCAAAGCTTATCATACAATCCCTGAATCACTCTAAGACCCGCCGAAGTAAGAAGTCCTGCATGTATTTCTCTTACGTGAAATATCTTGAACAATAGACTTCAGAATGTGAAACGTTTCCTTTCTCGTAGGTTTGCCTTAAAAACCTTACCTGGTGAACCACCAATAGAACAGGTATTCAGCTGCTTGTGAAACTCAACTCTCTCTTAGAACCAATTTTTAATATTCAAGCACAAACCTAGGCATTCTTAATGACAGCTACATAAAGAATTCCCTATAGACAGCTGACAGATTTTAACAGAATAGCATTTTTACCAAATGGACGTTCATTATTTCTATTGCTGACAGTCACTAAAACGCTTTTTTCAAGAACTTCATTTTCCTGTGACATTTTTGGTGCTCATGTTCCTTTATTTCCTGGTAAGTTCACAGGAAAATAAAATGAATCACCACTTCAGGTAAGAATTCACAGGTAAGAATAAATGATCTTCTCCAGTGTCTTGAATACGTGAAGTTACTCAGGAATCGCTTCTCCTAATCCTTTTCCCACAGAAGTAGAAAAGCCTTCAGGCTAGGTTTACTGTCGGATTTATAAATTCCTTTATACCATACCGTATACTGTTAAAACCATTTCAATGGATGATGTTATCAGTACAGCCACTTGGCAATTCCAAAGAATCCTTTATCCTGGTGATGATTATTAGGCCTCAAGTCTTGAAAAATTAGATGCAGGCTACTAAATATCACATATATAATATTCGTTACAGACTGGGAAAAGCGATAAAAATATTTTTCTTCAAACTAGAGCAGGGGAGACGCTAGGCAGTAACAGCAAGTTCTAACACAGATACTAGTCGCAGCACAGAACAAAGTCCCAGAACCAATGCTCAAAACCTGCTGGAACGGGCTCATATTATTTGCTGCCTGACAGTTTGGTGAGGTGGAATGCTGTGCCAACCCCTGCGTACCGAAACAATGCTAATTCTGCACAGTTTGAACGAGCACAAGGTCAGAAACAAGCAGACTATCGTTATTATGTCTGCTAGCTGCATATGGGAGAGTTTACGTTCAATTCATCAAGCCCGCGCTGGGAAAAAAGCAAAGCAGAAAAACATCCACTCGGTGAAGAACCACATTTGTCCACTGGATGCTTCTTTTGCCACCCACGCACCTCTCTCTCCAGCTAAAAAGGACAAGATTTCTCCTGTCTGGAGTAAACAACCAGTGCATCAATTCTAAGGACTCATCCTGGGCAAGAGCTGCTACTCTATGCTTCACAGAAAAGCATACACCTAGGCGTACAAATGGTATTTCGGCAGGCGGGAGGGCAGTCCCCACTGATGTGGGGACCTTAAAACTTGAAATTCGAGTCTTTCTTAAGCCCGTTTTTATCTTCAGTGATCACTAGTAATACAAGACCTAAATTCTAAAATCCCTTTTTGTTGTTAAAAACAGTCATGCCATATGATAGGTTTACTTATTTACAGAACAGTCTATCGAGCCTGGCTACCTTGAAAAACCTGTTTTCCAAACTATTTCATAGGTGCCATTGAACTGGTTTGGTGCATTCAGACCAAAGCACACCCAATTTATACCTGGCTAAGCCTTCAAATTCCAAGTGTGTTATACACACCAAAAACAAAACCTATTTTTCACTAACACTATTAAAACCAAAAACCCAGCACATCCACACAGAAGACCTGTCATTTACCCCAGGCATCAAGGAACTGAACTTTGAGGCTACTCTCCTTTACCTGTCAAGCGGTACGAGCCCATCAGATCACAGGACTTCGTAAGGCCACGCACACATAAACCTGAACATCAGATTATCGGTACGTTGAAAACATTGTGTTGGTAATTCCCATCTTGAACCTGCCACAGGGAGAACTCAGATAACAGTAGCAACATTATCACCTTTTTTTTTTAAAAAGCTCATCTTAATAACTACCTTTCTATCTGAGATGAATTGGATAAAAATCTGAACGTGGACCAT